TACTTCTGGGATGATGTGAAAAAGTACCAGACTATTTTTGGTCTTCTCACAAATGCAAGAAAAATCAGGGCATTTTGTGAGTGCCTTAAGACGAAACTAACAAGATCTGACCCATACCCTCACAATGAGTCACTGTCAGATTTCAGAAGGCAAGAGCCAAAAGCCTCATTGTGAAAAGCACCGGGCTTGGACCAGTGACACCATCAGGGCCTCAGTTTCCTCATGCGTAAAATGAAAGGGGTGGGTTAATGGCCAAAGATTCTTCTGATCCTAATATTTTAAAATTATGAGAGAAACCAGAAGACTGTAAACCTGGGTCCCAGGCCCAGTTCTGGCAGTTCCGTGGGGAGTTTTTATCTAGCATTATGCCAAATAAACATGCAGTCTCCGTGTGCTCTCGAGTATGTGAGTATCTAGTCCTTTCTGGGTTCTCAGCCAAGGCATAAAAACTAAGACTCAGAGTGTACAAAACCAGCTACATTTGCAAGGGAGGGAAAAGAAAACGGGCCCCGAGCTGGGATCTTGTGCCGCCTTTCCCACTCAAGCATTGTTTTTCTTTCTAAAATCTACTTTGACACTTAACACCTCTCTGGACTAATTTCTCTTCCTAGGCAGCTCAGCACAGCTGTTGACAAGTTAGATGCAGGATCCTTAATATACATTCTAAACGAGGTGACGACTCAATCAACTTGAAATTGGGCCCAAGGAGTGACAGCTACAAAAATACAAAATGCTTGTCCGGGACTCAGCCACGCACAACTTGGGCAGCACGTGCAGGAGGCCCGGAAGGAGCTGTGCTCCGTTCTCCGGTGATGTCACCATCACGGTGTCGATGACGGAAGGAGTGACCCCAACTGCGGGCGTGGCCAGTTCCACACGGTCATCTATGATCGTTTCTCCTGGACTATGCAGAGCTGCTTGCCACAGAGATCTGCATTCCCACTGCCCAGCGATGGGTGTGGGGCCGGGGGCGGGCTTGTGGAAGTCTTCAGCTTGCATCTGGAGCTCCTCTGCTACCTCTGAGCTGGCCATCAGGTGGCAGCTCACGCCCGTGGATTCTCACGTGCCACACCTCAGCAGCCGGGAGCCGGGGGGTCAGTCCTTCTGTGAAGGCCTTTGCTATTCGCTTTGGCCTGGGAATTTTTCCCACTTTTATGAAGGGTTTTTAATTATTTCATTTTGTATGCTGTGCTCAAAGCCTTATCTGTCAGTATCTTGCATTATCTTGTTTGTATAGAAATATATGGCCTAGCACAGGCAAAAGTGAATTTTATTTTACTTGTTATACCTGTCTTAATAAATTGGAGTTTTTGCTGCTAAAGAACCCTTCTCTTTGAGGCAGAGCTTCTACTTAAGGCACACAGACATCAACTAGGCTTTTGGGAATCGTTTCTGTGGTTTGTGGAAAGGCCCTTGCAGGTGTCCGGGAGGTGGCACGTTCAGACAGAAAACAGGCTGTGCTTCCGCATGCGAGACAGGAAACTTTCTCTGCACAGAACGGCAGCAGGCCTGCGAGTCCACGGTGGAGTTTCGTGCCACCCCCTCTAGCTGATCTGAGACTTAAAAGCTGACGGCCCAGCCTCAGAGTGGCGCCCCTGTGCCCTGCCTAAAATGACGACACTGGAAACAGCAGGGGTGTAGCTGACAAGGAGTTGAGGTGGAGCTAACTAAGCCCATCAGCGAGTCCACTTGTGGGGTGAGAAACACACAGTGAGCCTTCCAGGAGCCCAATCACACTTGAGTGCCCAAAGTGCCACTTTAGGGGTGAAATTGCATTTTCTCTTCCAAAAAGGAAGGGCTCTTCCGGGTGAGAAACCTGTGGTCTGGAACCACAGCTAGAAGAGGCGTGCTGGCCCACACAGGAAAACTTGCCCTGTCTGCCCTGTGCCAGCCTCGCCTCCCCCTGCAGTTCCTGTTTCAGCTGTGGATGCCTCCTCACCAACCCTGACCTTCCCCCTCCAACCCTATCCATCCTCACACCGTTTCCCCAGACAGCTCAGGGCTGCAGAGTTCGTGCCTTCAGCCTTACCTTGGTGGTGACTTAACTGAAAATCTCCATAACTGCTCATTATCTCCTTTTCTTCAAGACCTCACCGTGAAAAAATCAGTCGAGTGTGCACACCTGTAATCCCAGCTACTTGGGTGGCTGTGGTGTGAGGGCTGCTTGAGCCTGGGAGCTTGAGGCTGCAGTGAGCTGTGATTGCACCACTGCACTCTAGCCTGGGCGACAGAGACAGACCTGTCTCAAAAAAGTCAAATAAGGACCTTATGTGTGTGAAAATTATTTGCCTTTCATTAATGGTTACAAGACTATCATTTGTTACCTGAGCTGGCCCATGAGCTATTTCAGTCATTCCTATATGTTCAGGCAATTCCAATTTAGAAACAAAGTTCCAGTGCTACATAATTATTGGGAAGAAAATGTCGGCTCAAAGGGCCAAGTAGGTGTAGCTGCCCAAGTCTAGCCGTGCACATAAGCACAACCGGGGCCCGGGCATACAGGCGAGTGTTAGAGGTTGGAGGAGGGGCTCCGGGTGCAGCCAGTGCTGCACTAGAGTGCTGAAGGAAAACATCTCTGATTTGATACATTCAGTGTGGCCTAATGAGGCTGCACAACTGGGGAGGTGGCGGGAGAAAACCTGAGCCTCGAGCTGAGTAACAATCCGAGCCATGATTAGCATTGATATTACATTACAGCACTATTCGGATCCCATCACGTTCATTAACTAAGCTCAGCCATTACGACTCCTGTTTCCAGCTGGAAAAACCACCACCAGGAAAGTGCATTTTCCCCAAGAGAGCGAATTTGGTCAAAACGGACACCTAATCACCCTCTCTGCAGGATATGCTGGGGATTGCCCTTTTGAGGAGGTGGGGGTGTGTGGGAAAGCAAGCTGGGTCCAAAGCAGGGGGATGTTAGAGAGGAGGAGGGGCCCTGGCCCAGCCCGTGCTCCACCAGGCTGCTCCACAACCCATAAAAAACACCTTCAGCTCTGCTGCGCTTCCCCTCACACCTAAGCTTACTAAAGGGTCCTGCCTTCCCCAGTATTCCTTCACGATCACCACCACCTGTGCCCTGAAGTGCAACAGAACCTCAAGGCAGGGGACAGCTGCTTCCTCAGAACCCACGAGCTCTGCCGCATCCCCACGGACCCAGCAGTGACTCCTAATTACCAAATCCAAGGGCTCCTTCGCCCTGGCCACTCTGGAACCCAACAAAGCCGACACAGCCCAGACCCGCCTGTGAGTCCTGGCTCTCCCATTTGCCAGCTCTATGGCTGTAGGCAAGCGGCTTGACCTAAGCTTCAGTTTCCTCGTCTGTGAGATAGACACCTGGCAGTACTCGGATGGGAAAGAAGCCGGCGTCGGTCAGCAGCGGAGCACAGTGCACGGGGTGCAGTGGGCGACGCTCATTCGTTGAAAACTGGCCCTGCTTTCAAAGCCTTGTCAGTTACCAAAGCTGTCTGTAGCCTTTCCGGAGCCTCAAAGTCTAGAGTTTCATTTCGTCTTCTGTATCTTCCCCTGTTAGTCTAAACTGCATTTGGTAAGCCCCCTGCCGTGTTGCAGACTTTGGTAAAAGTCAAACATCCCACGGCGGTTCGGGCCATGAGAAACAGCCTGCCTCTTACATTCTGCTGGGACAAAGTGCAAGGAACGCCACATTCCGCTGGAACCACCTCATCCTGGGAACACGTTATCCACATCTTCCGGGACAGCAAGCCAGTCTGCCCAGACCCCTCCCGCCCGGGCCTATGAGTACCCCAGCAGGTAATCGCCGGCGGGCTCTGGCACTAAGCTGGTTGCCCACCTCCAGAGGTTTTTGCAAGATATCTGTGTTGCTGCAGAGCCGCCCTCGCACTCTCCCGCTGCATCATTAAACCTTACCTTCCCTTTCAAAACCTAACACCCTTGACATTTATATCCAGACTCTAACATACATGTTATATATATATGTGTGTGTGTGTGTGTGTGTGTGTGTGTATACAGGTGTCCGGGAGGTGGCACGTTCAGACAGAAAACAGGCTGTGCTTCCGCATGCGAGACAGGAAACTTCCTCTGCACAGAACGGCAGCAGGCCCGCGAGTCCACGGCGGAGTTTCGTGCCACCCCCTCTAGCTGATCTGAGGCTTAAAAGCTGACGGCCCAGGCTCAGAGTGGCGCCCCCGTGCCCTGCCTAAAATGACGACACTGGAAACAGCAGGGGCGTAGCTGACAAGGAGTCGGGTGGAGCTCACTAAGCCCATCAGCGATGCACACGCAGCACACAGACACGCGCCCTTCTGAGTCCTCCCAGGAGAACGCAAGGCCACTTGCGGCACTTCAGCTTCCCTGGCTGCCTTTCAGTGCTCCGAACACGCTGACCGCCCTCCCAGCCCGGGACTCCCCGCGAAAGCGGCTCCGCGCCCTGCCACGCCCCCCGCTCACCCTTCAGGTCTCCCCGGTACCGCCTCCCGTTAAGGCCTCTCCCAACCACCGGCGTGCAGTGGGCGCCCCACAAATAAACCGCATTCCCCCTCGGTATTCGCACAGCCCCTGCACGGCGAGCGCACTGGGCCGGCACTGGCCGAGAGCACGAGGGGAGAAGCGGCTCCCCCGCGGCCGCCCGTACTCGGTCCGGGAGGGGAGGCCTTCGGCCCGGCGAAGTCCAGCCCGGACGAAACCCAGTGCGAGGCCGCAGCCCCGCTCCCCGCCACGAGACCCGCCCGCGAGGCCGCGAGGAACTGAAGCACACGAGACCGGCCCTCAAAAGCCGGGGGGCGCCCCCGAGCTGCCGCCGGGGGGTCGTCAGCGACAGGCGCTCGGTGAGCGAGGCAGCCGCCGGGATGGCCTGGGCCTGGCGAGTCCCTTCGGGATCCGCCAAGGGCGGACGCCGACCCGGTGGAGGGGGGGGACCGGCAGGGCGAGCGGCCCTCGGCCGCGCAGAGCGCAGCGCTCGCGGCGGGGACTGCAGCGGCGGGACAGGCGTCTCGGGGCTCCCGGGTCCTCGCGCGGTCACTCACCTGGCCCCAGCTGTCTGCTGAAAACCGGGCAGCCGGCCGCTCGGGTCCAAGCCGACAACGCGCGCTGGGCCGCCGGGCAACTCGGAGCCGTGTGCGTGCGCGTCCAGTCACGCAGCGGCTCCCGCCGAGCGGCCGCGAGCTTCTCCTGAAGCCCCCGGCTGGGCGTGCGACGCGGGAAAGCGCCGGCGTCTCCATGGCAACGAGGGCGAGTAGCGCGTGCGCGAGCCGCCTCCGGAAGTGACGTGAGGAAGGGGCGCCCGGGACGGAGCCATGGCCCAGGAGGCAGATGGATGGCTGTCGGAGGAAACGCTGTCTCTGTGGAAACGGTAATGCTGCGGGCGACGCGCAGGAGGCGGGCGCTGAGGCCGCGCGGCTCTCCGCAGACCCTCCGAGCTCGTAGTCTTCAGGCTGCGGAGTCGGAGCCGTGGCCGCCGCCGGAGCCTCCCGGGCGCAGCCCAGCTTCCGGCGCGGGAGCGGAGGGGTCTCGGGAGTTGTAGTCCGCGGGGTGGGCGCGGTTCTTCCGGCCACGCTTGTTGGGCCTGCGCGTGCCGTGTTCTCCGCCCGCCGGTCTCCCGGGGAGTGTGGCCTCGCACGTGTATCCCTTGCTCCCTTGCCCTCCCTGGAAGCTGGAGAAGACCCGGCAGAGGCGCTTGGCCGCGCCGGCGGAGAAGGCAGAGTCTGGGGTGTCGCCCCGGCTGGGTTTGACGCTTCTGTCCTCCTAGGGAGCAAGCTCGGCTGAAGGCTCGCGTCGTAGACCGGGACACTGAGGCGTGGCAGCGGGACCCCGCCTTCTCGGGGCTGCGGAGGGTCGGGGGCGTTGACGTGTCCTTCGTGAAAGGGGACAGTGTCCGTGCTTGTGCCTCTCTGGTGGTGCTCAGCTACCCTGAGCTCGAGGTAACCCGGGAGGACGCTGAGCTCGAGGCGGGTCCCTTGATGGCATCGGGCGTGGGGCCTCCGGGGCAGGGAGCAGTCCAGGCCTAGAACCCGGCGTCTCGTTTTGTAGGGTGTCATTAGTGGTCTGGGGAGTCTTGGAAGGGAGAAAAAAGGCAAAAAACTAAGGGAATTCTGTGACTTAACGATCAGCGCATGAGCTTTACCTCCAAGTCTGATTGTTGTCTTGCGTTCTCATCTCAGTGACCTGCACACACCTTGCCCAAGCTGGAAATCTGTGTCCTCCTGGGCCCCTACTTTCCTCTCACGTCCAGTGGCACACTTAGCTCCCTTTCTTTCTGCCTCTTAAATGTCGCTGGAATCTATCCCCTTGTCTGCCTTCTGCTCCCTGCCTGGCTGTGCCACCGTCACTCCTGTGGGTTCCCGAGCAGCATTTTCATGGGTGCCTGCCTCAAGCGCTCCTCCTCAGTGGTTTCTTTTCCATCCTGCCAGCAGACCTATTTTCCTAAAAAGCAAGTATTTTCCTCAAAAGCAACAAGTCCCTCTCTCCTTCCCTCCCTCCCTTTTCTGCAGTGGCATGATCTTGGCTCACTGCCAAGATCTGATCTTAACCTCCTGGACTCAAGTGATCTCCTACCTTAGCCTCCTGTAACTAGGACCACAGGTGTGAGCCACCACACTTGGCTTTTTTTATTTTTTGTAGAGACAGGGTCTCACTGTGTTGCCCAGGCTTGTCTTCAGCTCCTGGGCTTAAGGGATCCTCCCACCTTGGCTTCCCCAGCTGCTGGGATTCCAGGCGTGAGCCCACAAGTCCTCTTAAAAACATTTAAGTGCTTTTCCTATGACCTCATGCTGAATAAAGTTCACTGTCATTGCCATGGCTTAAAGGCACTTTATGAACTGTCCCCTGCTTAATTTAATAAGATTCTATAGGCTCAGCTCTCACCACCATTCTCAGTACTTCCCACCCCTTACAACCCACATTGAATCCTTCAGACGTGTGCCATGCTGTATTTGGCTACCTGACCTTTGCAGTAATGTTTCCTCTCCTGGAGGGGTTTCCATCTGGCTAACTCCTACTCAGAAGGGCTCAGTTTAGACATTACTTCCTCTGCTAAGCCCCCGCTCATCCCACAAGACCAGGCGTTGCCCCTCAGCACTGTGTCTTAGTCCGCGTGGACTGCTGTGATAGAACACCTTGGACTAGGTGGCTTACCCACAGCAGGAATTTATTTCTCGCAGTTGTGGAGGCTGGAAGCTCACGATCGGGGTGCCCGCGCAGTCACGGTCTGGTGTCAGTGCTCTTCTAGGTTGCACACGGCCAGCTTCTTAACTGCATTCTCGCAGGGTGATCCACTCACCTCCCAAGAGGCCTCAGCTCCTAATACCGTCGCCTCGTGGGTTATAATTTCCACACTTGAATTTGGGGAAGACACAAACGTTTAGACCATAGCAACCTTCTGCTTCCTCTTTATCTCACTGGAATGGAATTGGCCTAGCTGTCTTCCCTGCTGGAATGTAAACTCCGTGAGGGTAAAAACTGTGTTGTTTTGCCCACCACGGGCAGCATGCCGAAGACGCCGGACTCTTCCTTAAATAGACACGTGCGTGAATGGACGGTGGGCTCCGGAAGCACATCTTCCTGCTTCCGGCTCCCAAAGATGACACACACCTTCCTGCTTCCATAGCTTTGTGCTTTACTTGGGAGGCCACTTTCAGGCTAAATGGAGCAAAAATGTATTGAGTGCCTACTGTGTGCTAAGATTGGGATATTCGCAATCCCTACCCTAAGAGGTCTCCTGGCCATTTTGTAGGCTGGCATTGGGTGGGAGCACAGTCCGAGGAGCGAGACCGCTCATGCTCACGCCCAGCTCGGCCGCCTCCCGCTGTGCCCTCTCGGCCTCTGTCTCCGTGTCTCTAACTTGAGGACGATAGTGGTATTGATATGCAGCTCACTGAGTTGTGATGAGCAACACTTGAAACGCTCAGCGTTCCCTCCCCTCCAGCTTTTCCTGGCTGCGCGTTACCAACCTTTCATCTGCATCCTGGGCCTCTTTTTAATGCATGTGCTGTTACAGCACTTCTCGCACTGTATTAAAGTTAGTTGTTTACGATTCTGTTTTTCCCTTGGCTGGAAGTTCTCTAGGGAAGGGCTATACCGCATTTCCTTTATAACCCCAGCACCAGGCAAAGCGCCTGCTACTTCGTTGGCATTGGTTGTCCCGGCTATGAAAGCTTGGACTACAAAAGGGTCTTGGAAGAGTCTGGTCCGCTGATTCCTGAATGCCTGAGCACGAACCCGCAGGAGGAGAATCACCGGAAGTGTGTTGAAAAACAGATTCCATGGGCATGTTCTCAAAGACAAAGTAGACCCGTGGCTGCCTTGGACTTGGGGTGGGATGGATGGGAAGTGACTGCTGACGGGTATGAGGTTTATTTTGGGGTTAAGGAAAATGTTCTGAAATTAGATTATAGTGATAATGGAAGGCTCTGTAAATCCCCAAACCATTGCATTATATGTTTAAACAAGTGAACTTTATGGTATATAAGTTTTCAGTAAAGCTTCTAGAAAAATAGCTTCCAGAGCCCTACCCCACTTACTGGGGGAAAAACTATTCCAGAGTATGGCCTGGGAATCTGCTTTTCAAAATAAGCTTCCCTGTGATTCTGAAGCGTAGCTGGGTTGGAGAACCCCTGGCCCACCTTTGCCACCATGAAGAACGTTCTCCTTAGCATCCCTGACTCACGGTGGCCTCTCAGCGGAGCCCATCCGTGCTGGACGCTGAGTGGTGGCTAGTGCGTGCCTCCCCGCAGGGAGCTGACCCCTGCTTGTCTGCGACTCCCAGTGATCGTTTCTGCCTTCAGGTAGCAAAACAGAACAGATCTTCCCCACCTGCTCGTCAGCCCTCCCGCTGCTGGAAACAGCTGCGCGCCCCTTCCCTGCTCCGTCTCAAGAGGCTGCGATGGCATCCAGCTTCTTCACTGGCCAACGGCCCTCTGGTCATGCCCTCCATTATCAGGGTCCTTCTTTACCCGTGGCACTCAGAATGAAATGCAGGAACTCATGCGGTCTACCCAAGTCCCTAGACCTAACACTCACCCGCGCCGTTTCAGTCGGTGCAGCTGAAAGCAGCGGAGCTTTTGAGGGGGCGCCGGGTCACTGGTGTATGTTGAGATTGCTGGCCATCCAGGCCTGCCCACATACTACTCAGTGATTTTTGTCTTCCCAGATTTTTAACTTGAAAATGTACAGACATGCCAAAAAATTGAAAAAAGTTACATTGGCCACCTGTATTCCTTCTACTTACGTTCACCTGCTGCAGCTCTGGTGTTCTCTCTCTCTCTCTCTCTTTCTCTCTCCTCTCTCTTTCTCTCTCTCTCTCTCTCTGTGTCTATGTGTGTGTTTACCGTATGTCCCAGCGATTGTGACTGCTCAGCTCTGAAGACATCAGCAGGCATGTCCTGAGAGTGACATTCTCCTACACAGCCGCATGTCATTATCATACTGACTACAAATCATAATCATCCCATAATGTGACCTGAATTATGACATTATGGGAGAGATTCAGACATCAGCAGCCACCCTCCTCCTGTGGGAACTCAGGCCACATTTGAATTCCACGTATGTCACTGTGCAAAGTCCCATTGCTGTGTGGGGATGTCAGGATCCACCCTGCTGTGTTCACCGTGAATCCAAAATCTATTATCAGAATGGACCCTCCCCACTTAGGGTCATGGGCAGATTTGATCAGTTTCCCTATTGAGTCATTAGTAAAAATGCTGAGAGAATGAGCCCCAAACCTCTATGCTAATACAGAGTACTCAGTTTTCTTCAGTATGTTTAATTATTGATGGAGTCACAGGGAGGAATGGAAGTTGTGATTTGAAAGCTGTCACCAAGTTTGGGGAGTCAGTAAGGACACTAGGGAGGTGGACAGCTCTGGAGAACATGGGCATAGTGAGAAACGTGTCTCCACATAAGGCCAGTGTGACTAGGGAAAGCACAAGGTTAGGAGACTCGGACCCGCTGTGCTGTGTTCTAAGCTGTAGCCTCTGCCTCCCAGGATCAAGCAATTCTCCTGCCTCAGCCTCCCGAGTAGCTGGGACTACAGGCACGTACTGCCACGCCCGGCTAATTTTTGTATCTTTTGGTGGAGGCAGGGTTTCGTCATGTTGGCCAGGCTGGTCTCAAACTCCGGGTCTCAAGTGACCCACCCACCTGGGCCTCCCAAAGTGCTGGGATTACAGGCGTGAGCCACCGCTTCTGGCCGCACTGTCTTCTTTAAGCCTCCAGCAGCCCCATCAAGGGGTGGGGTGGGGTGTCAGCTTCAGTACACAAAGAGACACTAGGAGAGCAAGGGGCAGGCAGGGGTGATGCAGCCAGCAATCTTAGCCTTGCATCTGTTGGAGACCAGATCCTGGGGGGCTCTTATGGACCAGATCCCAGGGAATCTTCCTACAGACCAGGTCCCAGAGAATCCTCCTACAGACCAGATCCCAGGGAATCCTCCTATTGACCAGGTCCCGGGGGCTTGTCCTATAGACCAGATCCCGGGGAATCCTCCTGTAGACCAGGTCCCAGGGAATCTTCCTACACACCAGGTCCCAGGGAATCCTTCTACAGGCCAGATCCCAGGGAATCTTCCTACACACCAGGTTGTTGGAGCTCTTCCTACAGAACAGGTCCCGGGGGCTCCTCTACAGACCAGGTTTGAGGGTGGAGAGAATGCACTGCAATTCTGGGGTGCGGGCTCCTCACATGGACCAGGTCCTGGGGGTGGAGGGGCTCCTCCAATCGACCGGGTCTGGGGGCGAGTGGGAGGGGTTTCATACGGACCAGGTTCTGGTGGCCTCCACCTTACGGACCAGGTCCCTAGTGCCTGCTCCTATGGACCAGGTCACAGGGATACCTGCCCACCACCAATTCGCAGGGTACATCTTCTAGTTCCTTCTTCTAAATGTCTCGTAGGTGAGGCAGGGAAGGGGAGCCATCAAGGTGAGGTTGGGGAGAGGGAAGGATGAAGAGCAGGGACAGGATGGAGGGAGTAGGGGTGGGGCGGGTGGCTGAGGGCCGCGCTGCCTGCTGAGCTGCATGCCTGGTGGCAGGTGGTGTATGAGGAGAGCCGCATGGTCAGCCTCACAGCCCCCTACGTGTCGGGCTTCCTGGCCTTCCGAGAGGTGCCCTTCCTGCTGGAGCTTGTGCAGCAGCTGCGAGAGAAGGAGCCGGACCTCATGCCCCAGGCAGGTGTCTCATCCCTAGGACAAGAGAAAGGCCCTTCCTCCCTGGGGAAGGGAAGGTGGCTGCAGGTTGCCACCACTGGCCATGGCAGGGAGAGACTCATGAGCTTCCTGGAAGAGAGGAATGAGGATTCCTAGAAAGCCGAACTCCGGAGACAGTGTCCCCTTCCTGCCTCGGGGATGGCCCTTGCCTGAGGGGCAGCTCGGCTGACCGTGACTCCCTCCGACTCCGTAGGTCCTTCTCGTGGATGGAAATGGGGTGCTCCACCATCAAGGTAATTCTGCTCTCGAAAGCAGTCCAGGGAGGGCACTGTCGGGGAGAGGGCACCTCTTGTCATCTCCCACACAAAACGCTGGCCCCTCGGCCTCTGCCGCCACCCGCCTCCAACAGCTCCTTTCTGGGCGCAGTGGGGACTCGCAGTGCCCTCCCCCCGGGAAAGGACTGCCGGCTGGCCCCTGCGTTTCCTACAGTGCCCTGCCCTTCGCTGGCTCATCTCCAGGTGCCACTACCCCGTTCTCAGCTGATCACCGCAGGATGTCCCAGGGCCTGGGCCCCTTGCTCCAGGGAGGAGCGGGGCTGCTGCAGGCTGTGCTGCACGGGGAGAAGTGATGGGGTGGGGGGCCTGCTGCAGGCTGTCCTGCACAAGAAGGAGGGGGTTCTCAGAGTGGCCTTCCCTGCCGGCCACCTACCCTGCATCTGCCTGTCAGCCCTTGTCCACCGCTAGACAGGTGCACCCGGGCCCCCGCCTATGCCGGGGACCCCTGGCCCAGGGAGCACAGCTGAGGGAGATGGGCTCTTTTGCCCTCGCATACAGACCTGTGAGTGGCACAGCCAGCAACACCCAGAGAGGGACCCGGGAGGGTGGCGCTGGACGTCCTGGCCAGCAGGTGCGATTGGGTCCTGGCTGCTGCCCTCGCACGTGGGGGGATATGCACCGATCCTGATGCCTGTGGCGGCACTAGCAGGAAACCATCGAGGGAAGAGGAGGCTGGGAGGCGCAGGAGATGGCTGCAGAGCCAGGCTGCGGCGTCCCAGCACACTAGCAAGGTGCCGGCCCTGGCGCTGACTGTGTCAGGGCAGGAGGCTTCCTCCCCAGCCTCACACCCAGGAAATCAGGCACAGGGAGCCTTAGCCCAGGTCAGCTTGGGGCGTAGGTGTGGTTTCCCCAGCTGTCTGCCTGTCCACAGACCTTTGGTCACTTAGGGAAGCTTTTGGTGAGATTCTGGCTTGTCCTGAATCCCTGCGCCAGGCCCCAGCCCCACCTCCCCAACCCCACCCTCCTTTCTCCCTGGCAGGCTTTGGGATGGCCTGCCACCTTGGGGTCCTTACAGACCTGCCTTGCGTTGGGGTGGCCAAGAAACTTCTGCAGGTGGACGGGCTGGAGAACGACGCCCTGCACAAGGAGAAGGTGAGGAGGGCCTGCCACAGCCCGTGCTGCGCTGGGACAGGGAGGGGCTGCTGCAGGCTATGCCCAGCAGCTCGGGGTGCTGCGGTGGCCTGGGCACAAGGGCGCTTCTGAACTAGCCCTTGCCTGTGATGCTGCCCTCCTTACCCCTGGCTCATAGCCTGGAATAAGGAAGACCCGCCTTCCTCTGGGCTCTGCCTTGCGTGTCTCAGCCAAGGCTGCTCTGAGCTCCTCTCCTGCCTCCTGGTGTGCCTGCCTCTCTGGTCCCCCACGCCTCTGAGCCACTGTGACACACCAAGTAAGGCTAAGTCCTCCATCCACTGGGGACTGGAGGGGCTTCCAGGCTGTCCCAGGCACACATGGTGTTTTCCCCATCCCACCTGGCCCCAGCCTGTCTCCTCGCCTGGGTACTCAGGTACCCCAGCCTCCGGGCCCCACTTCCACCAAGGCCTGCCCGGAGCTGCTGCCCACACTCCCTCCTACCCCACCTTCTCCTGCATCTTCCTCCTCTTGGGCCCCACGTTGGTACTGGGAGTGAGTCCCGTGGAGGCAGCCAGTGACAGCCCACTGGATGGCAGATTCTGAGAGCAGAGACTGCGTCTCGTTCCTCCTAACTCTCAGGTACCTGCACGGAGCAGTTGCTTAATAACAGTCTGTTGAGTCGATGGGACCTCAGACTGCCTCTGAGCCAGTCTGCGCCTCTGGAAATCCCAGCCTGTTGGCTTGAGTCAGATGTGTCCACAGTGGGAGACAGCCGCAGGAAGGAAGCGGGGTCAGCGCTGCTCAGTGCGCAGTGGCTCTGGGCAGATCACTGCCCTTGCTGTAAGCCCCATTGTCAGGGTTGGACAGGGTCTCGTGGGCAGCCCCCTCAGAGCAGGGGCGAGACCACATCACCGCCTGCGGGATCCGTGTCGCCTCAGCACATGGCTTTGCCTGGGCTGTGGCTCATATCCGGGATCAGTCCCCTTCCCTTTTCTGGCGCAGTGACTGTTTGTGTTTTCAAAATCAAGAGACTTTTCTTCACCCCTTCACCAAGAAGAGAGGGGTTTTTCCCCATTTTTCCCCCTATTTTCCAGATCCGACTCCTGCAGGCTGGAGGAGACTCGTTCCCTCTGCTGGGAGGCTCTGGGACTGTCCTGGGAATGGTAAGTGGCCAGGGCCCTAAGCCCCGCAAAGTCCAGGGTAGGGGATCCTTTGCATGCAGACACACCTGTGCTCACACATCAGCCAGTGCTCACACATCAGCCCCCACCCGCCCATCTGTCCATCCTCTTGCCTCAGACTGAGCCCTGAGGTATGTGGAGCCCACCCTGTCCTGGGGACAAGCAGCAGGAAGGCTCCCTGAGGATGGGCAGGCCCTGGCCCCTGAAAGTAACGCCCCCTTCATCTTCCCTCCTGCCCCAGGACATTTTGTCCGAGCTCCAGCCACTGAGGCTGTCCTGACCCAGGTCCCCACGGCCCAGCCCACAGGGGTGCCCTTACCTTCCTTGTCACAGGCCCTGAAGAGCCACGACCGCAGCACCAGGCCCCTGTACGTCTCCGTGGGCCACAAGATGAGCCTGGAGGCAGCCGTGCGCCTGACCTGCTGCTGCTGCAAGTTCCGGATCCCAGAGCCTGTGCGCCAGGTGGGTGGGCCCGGGGGGTGCGGGAGGCAGCACCTGCCATTCAGGGCTCCTCAGCAGCCCAGCTGGGGTCAGAGTGCAGTGACGTGAGGCTGGAGAGCCTGGTTGGCCTGCACTGGGCCCCACAGTCGGGACAGTGGACTGGAGGGTGCAGAACTCCCGGGAGTTCGTCCCCAGGCCCTGCGCCCCATGCACTCACCCACACACTCAACCTCCCAGCCTCTCTGAGCCACCTGCACCCAGATACAGGCCAGCCCGAAGAATCAGTGATGTCATCCTAGTGGTGTGGTGTCCTGCCAGTTCTCAACCAGCCCCTCAGGTCCCAGAGGGAGCAGCTGAACTCGAGCCAGGAGGCTCCTGCAGAAAAGCTGTAGGGACAGTGCTCAGGAAGCTGTGCAGGTCCCAGAGACGCTGGGACCGGGGATGCCTGCACTAGAACCCGGCACCGAAAGTGGTATTGGGTCCCACAGGGAGGGTGAGAACTCTGCTGAAGCAGTCAGCTCAGCTGGGAAAGGACTCAGCCTGCAGGCTGGGGAGAGACAGCTGGAATGAGAGGCCCACAGCCAGCCTTGATAGGACCAGGGACCACACGACACAGGCGGATGCCTGTCCCAGAGAAGTCTACAGAGTAGGGGTTCCAGAATAGTCAACCTTGGGAAGAGACCCTCTGGAGGAAGGGAAGGGGAGCCCTGGGCACGGAGGAGTTTGAGGCGCTCAAGAGATAGGTGGCTCAAGCTGGTAATTCCAACACATGGCAGAGGTGGGAGGATCACTTGAGCCCAGGAGTTTGAGGGCAGCCTGGGTAAACATAGTGAGGCCCGGTCTCTCCAAAACATTTTAAAAACAAATTAGCTGAGTGTGGTGGTGTGCGCCTGTGGTCTCAGCTAGGCTGAGGTGGGAAGATCACCTGAACCCAGGAGGTGGAGGCTGCAGTGAGTCCTGATCGCACCACTGCACTCCAGCCTGGGTCACGGAGCAAGACCTTATCTCAAAAAAAGCTAATTCAGCAGGAAAGTGTGGCTGGAGCCAGGGCAGTGAAGTTCAGAGTGGCGGGGGTGGTGCCTGTGAGCGTCCTGGGGTGCGCCGGGGTTTCGGACGCACCCGCGGGGACTTGGATGGTGGTGAGCTGGCAGCAGGGCACCCGCTGATTGGCCTTTTCAGGTGGCCGCTCTGCGTGCTGTGAAGGCCGTCGGGGGGAGCTGGGGACGCGAGTCTGCACAAGCTGCGCTGCTTCCAGCAGCCCAGCCCCGGGGCCTCCCTGACCTCTGCTGCTTCCCCATCTCCCTGCACCACTGGCCCCGCAGCCAGTGGAAAACGCCCAGGCCACCACTGCCTCGTAGGGCTGGGGCCTTCCGGCTGCTGGCACGCAGCGTGGCCTCCAGGGGGCAGCAGCAGCCCACACACCGCAATGGCCCTCGGCCCCTGGGCGCTGTGCCCAGGGGTGGCATCTGAGAGTGGGCTCCGCAGCCTTGCAGGGCTGTGTTTGGGGCATAGGTGTGTGGACTCTCAAGCTTGCGAGCTGTGTCCTCAGCCCCCAGGAAAGAGGCCTTTCTTTCTCCGTTCCAACTCAGCCGTGTGGTCTTCCGAGAGGGAACCGGGAACACTCTCCCCCAAGCCTGCAGCACCAGGAACTCCGCGTCGTGCTGCTGCAGACGCCACGGCTCCTGGAGCTCCCTTTCTGCCTCAGTGAGCCCCAGAGTAGGACAGTGGCCCATCCTGGCAGGGAAGGGGACGCCTGGTTTTTGAGTACCTTGAGCATCTAGAAACAGAGCAAGGATCGTGTGCCTAGTGCCAGCGAAGAGCCTGCCAAGTCCTGGGTCCACCCTCCAGAGGAAGGAAAGCCGCAGCCAGGCGGGCTACGCAGCCGTCTGCACCAGGACCCCGTAGTCTGTCACTGCTGGGTGTGGGCTGAGGGTCCTGTCCTGCAGAGCCCGCTCCGTCTCTGCATCTGTTTCCTTCCTGAGCCCACTCACCTCTCAACAGATTCCCCTCCTGACTCTTCCAGAAGGTCCAGGGAGAGCACAGACGGGGTTAGTGTTGGTCTGTCCTCTCCCTGGCTCTGTCCCCGGCCATCTTGGTGTCCCCATGGTCACAGGCGCTGCAGTGCTCCTGGTGCCAGATCCAGGCTCGGCTGCTCCGGGGGAAGGTGAAAGGTGCTGGCCCTGCCCACTGCTGCCCCTCTTCCCCCATGAACGGAAGCAGGAGCAGGTTGGGGGATTAGCCATTGCTTTCCATGAGTTGTGTGGCCCTGAAGCTAATCTAAGCCTATCTGAGCTGGGATCAAGGGGGCTTCCTAAGGCCAGCCCCACCCCCGCCCTGGGTTCCCACTCAGACACTGCGGTGTCCCTCCCTGCTAGGATCTGCCCTCATCACAGCCCTCTTTTATCCTGGTGATTCTGGAGATGGGACAGGGGTTACCGCTGATCTAGTTGGGGAGAGGGCAGACCAGCTGAGCTGAGTCCCAGGGAAGCGAGTGTTAGCAGGGAAGCCGGCTTACACGGAGCCTGCAGGGAGGTGCAGGCTGTAGACCAGTGAGGACCGAGGAGACCCAGGGCCCCCTCGCTCAACCCGTGCACTCGTGGCTCCTTAGGCCCTTCAGAAGACTGCGCGGGTGGGTTTGAGAACCGCCACTGCAGGGCTTAGACTCACAGTTCAGGCAGCCCTGTCACACGCTTGCCGGTGGGGCCGCTGCTCCTGAGCCGGGAAATCTGGCGGTGACCTGTGTGTCCTGGGGGCTTCTGTGGGGGATGGAGGCCTTGCCACCAGCAGCTCCTAGTGGGGCACTGGTCCAGAGGCCAGCTCAGGGCCCAGCAGCACTTCTCTCTCCTCCAGGCTGACTTCTGTTCCCGAGAGCACATCCGCAAGGCCCTGGGACACCCTGGACCCCCCACACCGAGGTGAGCGCCTGAGGAGGCTGGGGCACGAAGGAGGCATCTCATGGACACCCACGTGAGGCTGTTTCTGGTGGCCCCCCTCTCCCTGTTGCAGTGTTGTGGCTCAGGACAGGCAGTGCAGGGCCAGGCCAGGCAGGGGACACGGGAAGTCTTCAAAGAGCGGGGAGGGTGGAGTGGGGTGGACTTCTGTTCACGTGGGAACTCTCCAGAAACACCACTGCCTCCACCCCGAAGCCCTGGGACGGTGGCCCATGTGGTCCAAGCCCCACCTCCCAACAGGGCCAGCCCCAGCCGTCCTCACTCCCCATAGCCTGTGAGGCACCAGGACGAGGGCTCTGCAGAAAAGGCGTGGCCTTGCAGTCACGTGTGACCCAGCCACCGTGTTTGTACTCCTTAAGCCTCCGCTTCCTCATCTCATTCTTGTCCCACTGGTTCTTATAGAATAGAGTGAGACTGCCTGGCAGGGTCACAGCTAGCAGTACAAGGCTTTGTCTAAAAACCATCGCAGATGATTTGATCCTGACGGCAGCCTTGCTGTGAGACGGGTACTGTGACCCCACTGCACAGATGAGGAAGCCGGGGTGCTGAGCACTAATAAGGGGCAGAGCAGAACTGAGTCAGCTGTTTGGATTCCAGGCCCGGCATCTGAGCCTCCACACTGAGAGGGCACCCCGACTCTCTGGGCGAAGATCCCAGGAGGCACCAGGCCTGGAATTCGACCTGCCCTCCACCACAATTAGTGACCGAAGCGCGGTCCTTCCTTTGTGCTCACTTTCCCTCGAAGCCAGGGGCTGTTCCCAGGCCTTGCTAGGCTGCTTTGAGAACTGAGGGAGCAGGTGGCAGGGACCCCCAAGCTCTCCCAGAGTTGGGGACCAGCCAGCTTGACTGTGAGATTTACATTGTGAGCGGCGTGGTCTCCCCAGCCCTCTGACCTGGGCTCTCACCAGCCCTGAGGGTCCAGTTCCCAGACCCCGCCTGAGGAGTGAGGGGGTTTCAGGCAGACGCTAGCTTCTGATACTGTCGCTTTCTCAGTGTCCTCACCAGGAGCCTGAAGGCGCAGAGGCCAAAGGCATGCCCCAGAGGAGACTCTGGAGAGTCCGCAGGTGAGGGCCAGCCCCCAGAGGACCACAGCCTGGACCCCCGGACAGCCCCAAGGCCAGGCTCTCAGGAGCAGTAGGACAAGGACTGGCAGTAGAGTGGAACTGGGTGCCATGAAGATTCAGAGGCCACTGGCCACCCCATTCTGGCCTCGGGACAGTGACCACCCCTGGGGGTGTTCTAGGGACTTAGAGGAACCTCGACTCAGTCGCAGGTAGCGCGCCCAGTCCCCACAGACAGGCTGACCGTGCCACCTCATGGGGACGCTGCAGCGCAGCCCAGCTCCAGCTGAGGCAGAGGTGACCACGTCCCCCCTTCGCCCCATCATCGGCTGGTCAGCTGTGGTCGTGGTGCCTCAGAGGACAGATCTCTACGGGGCCAAGTGCCGGATCCCGAGAGTGCGTGGTCCAGCTCTCCTGGAGCCCACGGAGGGATTCGGAGCACCAGGGCCACGTGGGCCCCAGCTGCGCCTGCACGACGCCTCCAGCCTCTGCGCCGCCCGCCGCTGGCGGTACATAGAACTTGGCTCTCTTTTCCTTTTCTTCTCGGGGTTCATTTTTTATTTTACTTGTTTATTTTTATTGATCTCTTTACCATAAAATTTATTCGCAAAATCAGGATTCATTTGCAAAGCAGCGACAGCCGTACTGAGTTACCTCTGCCCTGACGCGGAGGGGTCCCAGCTGGGGTACCTGGGCTCTGGCACCTGCCCACTGCCAGCCATGACCCCTGACCCCGGACCTGCCCATCCTCCATCCTGCTCTGCGAAGAGGGAGCAGAGAGACGTGTCTCAGCCTGGAGGCGGCCGAGGGTGGGGGCAGCACACGGGGGCAGTCTGGGCTTTGGGGCCAGGGGCCAGACAGGACGGCACTGGTGCCTGAGGCATTGGGTGCCAGGCTCTGCACCTGGAGGAGCTAGGATCGGGGGTGGCACCATCCTCACAGGCTCTGAGAGCTGATCACCATCCTCTGTCCCTGCCTCCCTGTCCCAGAGACACAGCCTCAAAACGGTCTCCGCTGTGGGAAAGCAGCCCTGGGGCTGGCCCTGTCTGGCCACTTCCGCTCCTCTTGGTGTGGGCTAGAGGTGCCAGCTGAGGGGTGGGGGCAAAGGGGACCCCCCACTGCAGCCTGGCCCCAGCCCCTGGGTGCCTCCCAAGCAGCGCCCAGCCCTTGGCGTGATGTTTGGCCTCCAGACTCCAGGCTCCCTGAGGACGCTGGAATCTGCCACAGAGCACGAAGAAGTCCCCGGAACGCTCTTACCATTCACCTGACCGTTACAAGAAGGAGCTGGTGATCATGATTTCACAGCTTGGGACAAGAATCCAGGGGGGCCGTGTCTCTGGGTGCCCCTCCGTGCCCCTCTGAGACGGTGCTGTCCTTGGGTTCCTGAGGAGCAGTGCGAGCCTGGGCCCAGGAGCCGTTGAGGGGCTACAGCCACTGTGAAGGACGGGCTGCAGGCACGGAGGCTCCGGGAAAGGCCCGGGTTGTGTAGCTGCTCTTCCTTGATGGAGCAGACTCTATTCTAGAAATTTCCATAAGTAGACCCATTGCAGGACAAGGGGGGCTGGGAGTGCAGATGCAGGCACCTTGGGGTTGTGCCTGGAGTCACGGCAGGGAGGGAGGTCGGAACTAGGAGCGTTGTGGCTGCCATGGTCAGCTCTGGCCAGAACCAGACGAGCAGGGTGTCAGTGTTTGGGGACCAGCCTCACTCAGCCCTGGGCCCGTGGGCCTGTCGGGGATCTAGCGTTTCCTGAGGACCGACCCTTGGACCGAGGCTTCCTTCACCATGGCAGAGGGATTTCTGCCCTTGTCACCAAAAGGGGCAGCGGATGGTGGATGGAGATGGCTCGTGGCACCCCTTTCCACCTGCCGCAGACAAGAAGGGCCTTGGAACTCGAGTCAGTGCGGGGAGAGCGTCCCCAGAGAGCCCTTGGCGAGGGGTGGAGTTGACAGTGGGTGAGGCGGCTTTGAGGTTGCGTGGACCCTGTCTACTTCTAGGTCAAGTTAGGAGGTGTGTCAGCGCTGGAGGCAGGGGAGGCCTGGCCAGGTGAGCCCCTGGGACAGCCACGCATGGGGTCCAGACCTGTCTACCTGTCTGGTGGGAGAGTCCAGGACAGCACCTGGTAAGCTGAGAGCCGCAGTGTGTCTGCCTGGAACCCGTTTCCTCACCGGGAGCGTGAACACCTGCTCTAGCAGGTTTGGGGGTTAAAGGTGGGGATACGCGTGAAGCGTCTTGCCCAGCGGTGGATCCCCAGTACCCTCCTGATAAATGAGGTGTGGGGTGGTGGAGTCCAGCACTGGTCTGGGCCCAGGAACGAGGCGTCAGTGGTTAGAGGGGAGGGTGTCTGCCCACCTAGCATCTGTGGCAAGGATCTGCCTCCCAGCACCCCCGGGGAGTCCTGTCTGGATGGGAGGGAGAACAGGGCCATGGTGGGAGCCTCCAGAGCTGTCCCCCTAAAACCTCTGAATGTCGCTGGCACAAGCAGGCCCTGGCAGGGCTCTGGGTAACACCAGCTGAGCGCAGCCATGGTCCTGCGGCATGCTGCCTGGGTTGGGGGGGCAGGGAATCCGAGGCCCTACATCACTGCCTGTGAGTCCAGGGCTCAGGCATAACTCTGGGGACCTGTCATGCTGACCCCCAGGCCCACTGAAGCACAGGTGAGACTGTCTCATGGTCCTTGGAAAAATGGGGGTCCTCAGGCAGGGGATGGACACAGCCAGTGCTGGCGATGGCGGGGGCCTTGCCCCAGGCAGTCATGGGGGACGGACTCCGAGCACTCTGGGGATCCAGGCAGGGAGCTGCTGACTGCAGGTGAACCAGCAGTACTCCGAGGGTACTCACGGGAAAGAAAAACGTGGCACCCAGCTGGTGGCCCCAGGTGGCTGCTGCCTCATTCCACTGACCTCCTGAGTCAAAGGGTCCCCCCACCCCAGATAATGCACACAGAGCCAGATATCCAGGATGCGCCCCCCGCCAGTAGGACCCTTGGGAGGCTCAGTACCCCCTGCCTCTCAACTCGATAGCCTTCCCACAGAATGCCCTCCAGGCTTCTAGAGCTTTCCCTATCCCAAGCTCCAGGACCACAGGTGGCAGGGAATTGGAGGAATTGGAACCACAGTGTAGAAGCTGGGCAGAGCTGGCTGAGATCCAGCTGTCTTACAGGCTGGCCTTGAGCCAAGGTCAGAACCTGTCCCACAGAGGACAATACCCGCCTGTGATGTGGGAGATACTCCACAGGTGAAGCGTATAAGGGGCTCAGCAGGGAGCCTGTGTTGTGGGAGATACTCCACAGGTGAAGCGTGTCAGGGGCTCAGCAGGGAGCCTGTGTTGTGGGAGATACTCCACAGGTGAAGCGTGTCAGGGGCTCAGCAGGGAGCTGTGATGTGGGAGATACTCCACAGGTGAAGCGTGTCAGGGGCTCAGCAGGGAGCCTGGGAACGTGGTGAGTCCTTGGTAGGGGAAGGCTGTTGGTTTGGAGAAGCGAGCTGCACAAGGCCATCGGTCTGCCATGCTGTGCAAACTCCAGTGATGAGAAGGATGAAGCCAGAAGGTCAGGGAGGTCTCACCTACCAGGCTCCCACCTGGGCTGGCAGCTCCTCACACCCCCCAGGCCATCAGAACACAGGTCCTTGAAGGCAGACCTCCCTTTGGAGCTGGACAGGACCACATCTCCTGTGCCCCGTGGCTTCAATGCAACAGAGGAGTTTCTTGGGGGCCCAGAGGCTCAGAGGACAGGCCACAACTCCCAGGCACGTGGTAGCTTTGCCCAAAAAGCAGTAGCTTCAACCCCAACAACCCACCTCTGTGAAGATGGGCAGAGATGGCTCTGGGGCTGGAGGTCGGGCTCCGCTTAAAACCGCCGGTTCCTCAAGGACCAGGAGTGTAAGGTGGGCCTCCCTGGCCGAGGGCCTGGCCAGGACCCGGTCATGGGGTCCTCCCATTTCCCCCTCCCCTTGCAAGGAGGAGCAGGCCAGAGCCTGGAGGTAAGTTTGCAGACAACTTTTTTGTGAGTAGTTTTATGTTTGTTTGGAGATAAGTCACCATTTCCACTGCTTTAAAGCGTATACCTCATTGGCTTTTGGTGTATTCACAATCATGTGAAGCCATCATTACTGTCCAGTTCCAGAACGGTTTTTTTATCCCAAAGGGAAACCCCATGCATTAGCAATCACTCCCTGTTCCCCTTGCCCCAGACCCTGGCACCCACTACAGGCTTTCTGTCCCTGGACTGGCCTGCTCTGGGCACCGTGCAGGTGTGGGATCGCTATGCTGTCTTTAAGACTGGCTCCTTCTCTTGGCATCATGTTTTCAGGATGCGCCTGCATGGTGCCATGTGTCAGAACCTTACTCTTCATTACGGCTGAGTATGGATGGATCAGGATAAACATTTGGTTGATCTTGGTGGATTTTCGGGCTGTTTCCATTCAGGGCTGTTGTGAGTAATGCTGCATTGGGCACGGATATACAAGTTTTTGTGTAAACATACGTTTTCGGTTGTCTTGGGTGCACACTTAGGAGTAGAATTGCTGGGTCATATGGCGGTCCTGTGTTTAACTTTCTGAGAAACCGCCAGACTTTCCATAGCACGTGTACGGTTCACGTTCCCACCAGCAACGCCCGAGGGTTCCAGGTTCTGCACATCCTCGCCACCACTTGTTATTATCTGCCCTTTAGATTCCAGCCATTCCATGGAATAGAAACTGGTATTTCCACTGGGCACAGTGGACATGCCTGTAAGCCCAGCACTTTGGAAGGCTGAGGCGGGAGGATCACCTGAGCGCAGGAGTCTGAGATCAGCCTGGGCAAAATAGTGAGACCTCATCTCTACAAATTTTAAAAAATAACCAGGCATGGTGATGCACTCCTGTAATCCCAGGTACTCGGGAGGTTGAGATGAGAGGAACCCTTAAGCCCAGGAGGTAAAGGCTGCAGTGAGCCGTGATCATGCCACTGCATTCAGCCTGGGTGTCAATGAGACCTTGCCTCAAAAAAAAAAAAAAAAATGCTATTTCATTGTGGGTTTGGTTTGCATTTCCTGATGGCTGATGACGGTGGGCACCTTCTCAGGTCTCAGTAACCGTTTGCACTTGTACGTCCTTTTGAGCATCTGTATCCTTTGCCCATTTTTAAAATTGGGTTGTCGTCTTGTTGAGTTGCAGAAGTTCCTGTGTGTTCTGAACCCTAGGTATTGATCACTTCTGTGGTTGACAAATATTTTCTCCTGTGGGTTCTTTAGTTTCTTGATAGTGTCCTTTGATGAATGAAAGTTTTAAAGATTGATGAAGTCCATTCATCTGTTTTGTTGCTTATGCTTTTGACGTCATATTTATGAAGCCATTGACTAATTCAAGGCCATGAAGATTTATACCTGCATTTCCTTCTAAGGAATTTACCGTTTGAGTGCTTACCCTTAAGTCTTTGATCCATTTTGACTTAAATTTGTGTTTGGTGTAAGGGAACAGGTTCCATGTCATGCCTGTGAATAGCTAGTTGTCCCAGACCATTTTGTCGTGGTGTTGAGACAGGGTCTCGCTATTGCCAGGCTGGAGTGCAGGGGTGTGATCACGGCTCACTGCAGCCTCAATCTCCTGGGCTCAAGTGATCCTCCTGGCTCAGCCTCCAGAGTAGCTGGGTCTACAAGCATGCACCACCATGCCTG